TGGTGCCAGTTATGTGTTGTTATCGTTTCAGGAAAGAAGCGGGATACCCTACGGGAGTTATCAAAACCGCAGTGGTACATGGGAGTATTTTGCAAAAAACAACCAGTGCGGGCGGGGCGAAGATTCAGAAAAAACCTCTGAGAGTGGATGGCAGCTGGGCCAGGTCACCAAGAGCGCACTTCGTCATTTCCGCCATGGTTCGAGGAGCGCCAAGGCTTTGGCAAGACGGTCTGGAAGGAAGTCAAGACCATCCAGGATAACACGGGCGCCGTCGTCTACGGCAACCCTGCGGCCTGGTGGAACGGTGACATCTCGCTTGCGTTCCTCGAGTTCCGCTTTGGCAATCGCGCCAACATGGACGAGGCGGTGCTGCTCTTGTGGGACGACTTTTTCGCCCACTGGACGCCTGCCGTCCTGGATTACGCCGAGAAGATCAACGTGATCCCCGTGCGTGTACCACCCGGCTACACGTGGATCGCGCAGCCCGCCGACGTCGTGTGGAACCACACCCTCAAGAACCGCATCCGCAAGAAGTGGATCGACAACCTCCGCACTCAAGTCGCCAACCACAAGCCATCTGCCAAGTTCGTTCTCAAGCCGCCCAACCGCACCGAGCTCGCAACGTGGGTTTAGGACGCTTGGACGTCGCTGACTTCAAACCACATCAAAAATGGCTTCATCAAGTGCAACCTTGTCGATCTCGACCCCAACATCAGAGCGGAAGAAGAAGCCTCGAAGTGCCTCGAGACCTCGCTGCTCCGGAATCTCCTCCACCTCAACATCGCCGAAGAAGTCAACGAGCGTGATGACTTCCTCGACAGCTTCGAACGAGAGCCTGCTAGTGCTTAAGGCTGTCAATACATATCTGTTTTCATACCTCGTCTGTTTGAAACCGCAATGTCATCGGGGCCTCACGATCGCCGATGCTCATCTAACCACAGTCATCCACTACAAGTGAATACCCGTCGAATTTGATGTTGAGGCTGTCTCTGGGTGTTGCTGAGAATTCTGACGCAATACACCCATTGAATTTATCTTAATTTGACTATATCCCGACTGCGGTTGGGAGGAAGGACGCCATGGGTGGCTCATTTATTCATGTATCACTGCGGTTTTGATAACTCCCGTAGGGTACATGGGGCATGGCCAGGCCTCTGCAATCTTGGATTTTTTAGGGTTATCCAATCTTAAGCTTTTTCGTGCCTCATTTGGGCTCCGCCTTGGATCCTCCTTGGAGCCAAAAAGCATACAAACTTCAAGATATATTGGAGAAATGATTACGCAATCAATGAAAATGCCGTCGCATTACGCGGTGCGATTCGGTGCGTGGCGCGTTGCATCGAGGTGACGGCTGCCTCCAGCTCCTTGTATTGCTTGGACTGCATCTGGCCTTCCATTGCGTAGTTGGAGAGCGAGCGACGCGAGTCGCTTCTAGTGTTCTTGAGGATGGAGAAGTCGGCTTCTACCGTGTGGGTGGACGGAAGTACGGTCGCAAGCCCCGCAGCAAACATCGAGAGGTTCGGATACACTGTCGAGTAGTTCTTCCACACCTTCTCGAAGGGCTCGTCCTGCGAGCTGTCGATGCTTGAGCGCACTGCCTCGTTCTTCTGGTACGCGTCTTCCAGCGCCGCTCGTTCGGAGGCGATGGCCTTCTGCATCGCAAAGCCGCCGTAGCGGCAAATGAGACCGCGATGGTGCTGAAGAACGTCCATGAACGGGCCGAGCTCCGTAGTCGCCAACTCGTGCGGAGCTTGTAAATCAGGCGGCACGTCAAGCTTCTTGGCGCAGAGCTTGTCGAGACCGACGACGAAGAGCTCGATAGCTGTCGATACAGCGAGCTCGAGGTCGTGCTTGTCGGTGGCAGCGGCGTCGCGGTACGCCATGTACGCGTTCATGCGACCGCTGCCTCGACAGACACCACGACAGCCTGCACTGTCGTAGACACCGTAGCATGTAGGGTAGTCTGCGTCAGCGTGGCTGGCTTGGGCACCTTGGCGCGGCCCGACTTTGCTGAGCTCTTGGTCTTCGCTGCGGTCCCACGTGCCATCACAAGCGCAAAATGGCCTCCCTGCTTTGTGTGGAAATCCAACCAACCACTCGTTTGGCATACAAAAAGCAAGCTTAATTTTTCTTGGATACTCATTTGGGCTAGAACTTAGAGAAAATTTGAAAAAATTGGAAAAAATCCAAGATAGCAGAGGCCTGGGCATGGCCGACCTCCGCACTCATGTAGTCGGTGGTGGAAGGGACGTGGAGCCCTATCATAGTGTAGGTCGATCGCCGAACCCAGCGATAGCTGGAGTTGCAACGGACGGATATCTTTGAGTGACGTGTATCAACCGCCGAACCAAGAAGGCGGGTCGATCTCTGCGCGACGCCGCCTATTTCCAGACACGCCACTTTTCAATGAGCCGACTGGTAGTGCTCACGCCCGAGTCGTCGCCGGCACGCCTTTCGACCGACTCGATTGCGCTTCTGGCGTCGCCACCGCGTCGATCGTGTGGCCGATGGCGACTTTTGCCCCTCTTTGCCCACGCCCAGGGCACAGCGGCGTCGAGAAGCATTGGCACCAGCCGTCACGATGAACCCGACAAGGCCGACGACAGCGCTCACGCGCTCCGACGGAAGCGCAAACTGGTGCTGAGCTTGATTGCGCTGGCGCTGGTCATTGTCGCGATTTCACTCGCAGTGATTTTCACGCAGGCCAACGGACGGCACACCTCGAACGGCGACCCAGAGAATAACTTGGGCCTAGTACACACGCTTGCACCGGCGGCTGTCGAGTCGTTCACCTCGACCATAGCACCGCAGACATCGACGCCGCCGACAATTGAAGCGGATGCCTCACCGTCTCCAGCAAGCGTCGCGTTACCGGTGCCAGAAGCATCTGCGGCGGCAACAGCGCCACCGTTTACCGTGCCCACGGAAACAATAGTTGCAACGACCTCTGCCCCTGCACCAACGACAGTCGCGCCAACGACAATCGCGCCAACGACAGTCGCGCCACCAACCCAACAAACACTACCGTCAACGCCGTCACCAATCCTCACGCCGACAGATCCCGGAGCCCCTTCTCCATCGTCAATATCTCAAGCAACTCCAACGTCCACACCGACGCTCACACCGAACCCAACGCCGGGCCCCGCGATTACCCCTACTACAGTCCCGACGCCGCCGCTGACACCAGAGCCAAGTGCTTCTCCGACTCCAACTCCAACACCACCTTCGAACCCGCCGACGACGCCAGCACCAGCTCCATCACCGACCGCGGCCCCAACGCCGCCTTCGACCAAAGCACCAACACCAGAGCCTACTGTGTCGCCTACTGCAGCCCCATCGTCGGCGCAAGGATCCATCCGTTTCGTCAACAACTGCGGTGCCAGCATCAGCCTCTTCTACACTTTTGTCACATCGAGTGGCAAGAGCGACCACCTCATCCAAACCGTGAGTGCCGGTGGTACGTTCGATGTCGTTGGCTCCTCGTTTCAGTCGTCGACGTTTCGAGTCGGGCCGAGTTCCCAGGCCACTTGTGCGTCTTTGTGGGTCTTATAGTCTTGGCACTGACGTTGTCTTCCTCTAGTGCTCGAAGTTTCGCGCAATGACGGCAAGTTGTGGTACGATATCAGCGTCATTCCGCCGGGGGTATGGACAGGATTTCGATGGATCGAGGCACTAGTATGTTTCATGTGGTGGGTAGTGCGGCGATGGTCTGAGCTGGGATGCGTGCAGTCGAGGCGGCACCGTCACGGGCTACAATATGCCGCTCAGCGTGCGCCCGGCGCGGGTTGTGTCGCAAGCCGGCTACAACTGTGTGGATCTCCAGTGTGCCTCGGAGCAGTGCCCAGATGCGTATCTCTTCCCATCCGACAATATCAAGACCAAGAGTTGCAGCGTCGACGAAGTGCTCGTAGCGACGTGGTGCTGATTTCAAAGTCTGCAACCCGGCATTTCTGTCCCGGCCATGTTATTCAATGTAGTACTGGGGGCCATTCCAGTTTAAAACATTAGTTTTTACTCAGCGATGAACACCAACGGGATAAGCATTCACGACGATGCACAAAAAGATACTACGAGCGCTTCGTCTTGGTGGCAACTCTTGGTGTGGTAATCGTCCTTTGGGAAAAGGTAGGCGTCCGCACACCGCTCGGTTGCGCAGAGCAGCGGTGGGCAGTTGTACCCGGCTTCCGGGGCGAGGCGCTGCGGCGCGACACCGATCGCAACGTTGTAGCCTTTGACACGACCACCCTTGCTGCACGCTTCCCAGCTCATGCCATTGCCACACTACAATGCATCATGTGAGACGGGTGGAGCTGCAAGATTGCAGCGAGGTACCCCCGGTGGTATCGCGCTAATGTCATACCACACCTTGCCACCGCCTCGGCTCGACTCGAACACTAATGATTTGATGAGATCCCATTGGATGGCAGCTGCGACGGACGCGTTGCCTCTGGACTCCAGCCGACGCGAAAGGTCGACGACTGGTATTGGTGGCCGTAGACGTCCCACGTCACGCTTCTCGAGAGCCACTGGGACGTTTCGACGCACGCGACGTGCTCAAAGCAGAGCGAGTAGACAATCTCAATGTCCTTTTCGCATCGATTCACGAAGCGCAAGCTTGCCTGGTTGGACGACGTGACTGGCACCTCGGTGGGTGCGGGCGTAGGTGCCGCTGCCTGTGTCGGCGCAGGCGTGGCGACTGGCGTCGGCTCTGCCGTGACCGTAGCCGACTCTGTTGGGGACGGGGATAATGTTGTGTTGGCGGGCGCAGGTGTTGAGGTCGTTGGCTCTGGCGTACTCACCGAGGTCGGTACGGGCGTTGGCGCATCAGTACCAATCGGCACCAGCACTGAGGTTTCGTTCGTCGCAGTTGTCGACGGCCATGGCGTAAAGCTTGCCTTCTGGTTTGCTTCGACGGGACTTGATGACGACAGTACGATTGCGATCGCAGCTCCGACGACGACAACGACGCCGAACAGAAGCACGAGCACTCGCTTGCGTCGCGTCTGCTTGAGCCGGTTCTCAAACTGGTTCGAGTGTTTCGGGTCGACGACCATAACCGGCGACGCAAACTCCTCCGAGACGCGCCAGAGCACGATTTCCGAGGTCGTTGTTTCGCGCATGCAAATGTCGCGGCACTTGAAAAAGGCAAAGTGAGGCTACAATTACAAACGAGCGGAGGCAGCCCAAGATACTTTCGTCAGCATCGGCTGGGTTCCACGAAGTGGTACGGCGGTCGCGTGGCGCGTCGACATGGCCGTCGTCACACGTCGTCGTGTGCAGCGGTGGGGACTGCGGTAGGTTAGTGCCGACGATAGGTGAGTAGAACTTTGAGCCCGGTTGCACGGCCGTAATTTCGAAGAGCACAAAACCACGCTCGCACATACTCGTGATTATCGTGGTCGATGTAATGAGTACTAGTACACGTACAGAATACAATCCATTGTCATTCGTCGTTGTGGGAAAGACATGATCCCGATAGGGTCGTGACAAAGGACCATCGCTTTCGGGATGAGATTGCAATTCCGACCTTGATATGTTGATATTTATCAGCATTGTACGCTCGTTCCGACACAATAGTTGTTGGCTCCCTACGTTATACACATCCTATAGCAAACATATAACGTACTAGTATTCGTATTCGACTCACTGTGCGTTTTCACATTAGAATACCGTACAACTAAAGTCCGGACAATCGCGTCTGTCGCGCTGACCCACCACAACCAATTCCATGGATGATTAACGTCAAGGCGGCGCGTGTCGCTCAACTGCGCTTCCACCACAGCCTCGTTCATAAGCCCGGGCAGCCTGCTCTTCGTCGTGTTCTCCAGCTCTTCGTCCAGCACGACAGTCCGCGTCACCACGTTGACTCTCGGTTCGCACTCCTCCAATTAAGATCTACATACCAAATTTTGGCGTCTCACAGTACGTTGCAAATACCTTTGACAGTGTTGGAAGGAAC